ATCGCAGAATTCCAAGGTTCAAGAAGACAAGAACTAAAACAGATAAATTTAGTGCAAAACGATTGTGGAAGTCTCCTCTTGAATTTGCAATCAAAATAAAGGCTTAAAACACCATGGATCGCATTGCATCGGCGACCAAAGTTCACGATCTAACTGGACTTCTACCTCTTGGGAAAAAGTCGGTCTTACGATGATGTCGAAAGAGTTTGATGTCTTACGATGATCGCAGAATTCCAAGGTTGATAAATCGCAGAATTCCAAGGTTGAAGAAGACAAGAACTAAAACAGATAAAATTTAGTGCAAAACGATTGTGGAAGTCTCCTCTTGAATTTGCAATCAAAATAAAGGCTTAAAACACCATGGATCGCATTGCATCGGCGACCAAAGTTCACGATCTAACTGGATTTCTACCTCTTGGGAAAAAGTCGGTCTTACGATGATCCCAATCACTGCCACAAGCATCCGTAAAAGCTTCCAAATCTGGTAATGCCGAAAGGCCCCTCGGAGAGGGACGGTTTCGCCATTAGCACAAAAGATTTAAGGGGCATTTTGTCCATTATTCCGAAATTTGATATTTTAAAACTTTTTAATTGTTATTAAGCTTAGTTTTTTACATCCTCCCCTATTCGGTGGGTCCTCTATATAAACAAGCTTAGGTCAATTATAAAAGGGTCGGATCATTCATTAATGAAATAGAGGCATTAAGCTCGTTTCTACTTGTCTTTTGCTCCTAACCCTTGGATCCAATGCCAAAGAGAGAGAAAACTTTCCAAAAAGAGAAACTACCCCTAGCCAGCCCTAGTCATGCGGCTCCATTCTCTCTCTCCTTATTCTTTCTTTTTTCTCTCTCTTCACTTGTTACTTGCCCCGCACAGTAACCCATGCCCACAAAAAGCATGCAGTCTCATCACTTTCCCTTTTTGCATCTCTAGCGTAGATACAACAAACCTACAACACCGCATAACACCCTGTTATCCGACATACGCTCTACCCAATACCTTTTAGAGTCAATCCAAGGGTTCCAACCCTTAGATCAACGCTCTATCTCCCTATCCGTACAGTCAAGTTGAGTTTTGAGAGATGCATACGCTCTCTCCCTCAGTCACTCGGGAGGAGTCTTCCTGAGCCAATAGTCAAGAGAGTTTTAACCTTTCGGTTGTCCTGATCGCCCAAGCGGATAACGTTTGCCCGGAAAGGAGAATTCTCATCACCTTTCTCCCTTGTCCCTTCTTTTTGTCAGCCAGCCCTCGTTCAAGCTAGCCACTATAGAGGCCTACAATCGAATCCGTATTGCAGTTTCCAACGTGAGAGAACAAAGCGACGAGTTAAAAAGCCTGAGGAAAGTCTGTGTCCAAACCGCGCTGGCAGATAGCCAGTGGGCTTCGTAATTGTTCTAAGAGGGCGAACCGCTCGGGTATGTCCCAAACCCCAAATGACAAGGTAAGTATCTAAAACGCACCCCCGTCGTAAAATCTCTATCTTTGTTGGTTCTTATCTATGCATATGAGAGCATGTGTGCTCACACTCACAAACATGCAGCACGCCCGGGCTCTCCACGGTTGTTTGAGAGAGGATTTTTCCTGCTGTACAAGTGAAGGAAAAGTTAGGCCCGACCAACTAGCGAATCCACTAGGGATACGCCACCCTATAGTTGGCTAAGATTGTTCTTAAGCAAACATCTCTCTTCTTTCTCTCTTTAAAACTGGAATGGAGTCTCATTACTCCTCTTTCGTCCAAGTTGGAGACTTCATCATCCCCATATTTGTGACCTCACCTACGGAGAGCCGGATGGCTAATCCTGCTTCTCCCCTATCCTCCTCAGCCACCTAGCTGGCCCTACCATCCTAGTTCAGGCTAGGAAAATTAGGGGAAAGAGTACTCAAACCCCTTTTCCCTCCTTCTTCGACATCAAAGGGAAATCCACTAATGTCATTTGCATGTGTGGCTCTGAAACCACCTTTTATCAAGTCGTAAGCGTAAAAGTGGTACTCACGCCACTCCTCCTCTTCACCCAGTGGGTCCTAACTAGACCACTGTCTTAGCAGGTACCCGAAAGGGAACCCCACCCGTGCTTCATGAAGGCATCGCTGGTACTAGCGCATCACCGCACACACATTACTCTGGCGACTCCTATGCCGGTCCGTGCAGCACCAAAGCCGCCAGACGCACATTTACACACGTCGTGGCTGATAGTTTTACCATCATCATGATGAGACGAGAAACGACTACTCTGGTCTCCTCACCTTGTTCGAGCCTCTTAAGGCCCGGACTCATCACGAGTAGTCTTCAGGCCACCAATGCACCACATGATACTCTCGTAGCTCGGGGCAGCCCAAAGGATGGAACCAAAAGAGCACATGACTTTCGAGGCAGTAAAAAGTTTTGTAAAAGAATGCACATGCATGCTCAAGGCCCTAAGGCCTTCTCAACTAAGAAGGCGGATAATTCAAATACTCAGCCTTCCATTTCACCAGGGGTTGGGTCACAAACCGCCTCGAACACTTATGTAGGCCACGCACACACTTGTACGTCCAGTGACTTTGCCAGCGGAAAGAGGAAAGGAGCATCAAACACACCCCTTGCTACCCCAAAGCCGCTTAGCACGTGGTACTCAAAGAAATTCCCTTTGAGAACCATCATGTATAATCCTCCATCTCTATGCAGGCAAGCTAGACCTCGGGGTAGGGCATGGGGAAAGATATTCTCAAAGAGGATCAGTCAAACCCCCATCTTCCAAGCAAGCATATTCCTCCAAAGTTGACCACAAGCTCCCTTCTTCCTGGATGTCATAAATTATAGGAGTTGATCAATTTTGCACTCATCTCCATAGGGAAATCCAGTCGGGAAGGAAATCGAGATCGATTCCGATTCTTGGAAAAGATCTACCGGAGCTTGAGAATTCAATGGACGAAAGAGATGAGGGTGCCGTTTCGAAAATGAAAAGCAGAGTCTTTAGATTCAAAAGACTCACTAGAACAAAATTGGTTTTACCCGTTGCAAGTCATGAAAGAACAAAAAATTAGCGACATTGTTCATTGCTACGTCATCAAGGTACAAGAAGACAAACTCACTTCATAATATCCATGCCCCTAAGGCCATCATGAGCAAGTAAATTAGATATGGCCCCAAGGCCGTCTCGAGCCCATTTAGGTTGGACGATGGCCCCAAGGCCTTCAAGCGCCAAGATCAGCAGTAATCCATCCCCAAGGCCGCCCAGAGCCAGTGCTTACTCGTGCTGCAAGGCAATCTCAAGCTTCCCTATTGCACATATTTCCATATAGAAGTGTAAAGAGGACCAGAATCACCCCTGCTGCTAAATTATCCGAACAGGGCAAACAAGTTAAGGTAATGGTAGTAAGTCATGAAGGGGATGAGCCTGAAAGTCGAGGATGATCCGTTTCAAGGACGTGTTGAACAACATTCTTGATAGGCTGAAAGGACTCGAAGATGCTCGACCCGCAATGTCTTCTCATCAAGAAGAAAACTTCCCTCTTGAGCCTCGACATGAAGAAGAAGAAAGACCCTAGCCTCTCCTATGGCCCGAACCTCAAGGCCTCTAAACTTTTTTTTCTCCTTCGATGACCAGCCCAATCCTCACAAGCTACGCCATCGATGTTTACTCAAGAAGATGTCAAAGGATGCACAATAAAAGCATCCAAGGCTTACAGAGGTCGAAGCTCAAGAAAGTGTCCGATATAAGAAGCCTTGCCCGCCTTTTATTGATCGAAACCCCTTCCCCACCGAAAATCAAAAAGGAAGATTACCAGTCTTCGATGGCACGAGTTCACCCCAGCAACATGTGGCTCACTTCGTGTCGGCATGCCAGGGATTGGTTTCAGACTCCAGATTGCTTCTTCGACAGTTTGTAGAAACTTTGGTTGGAATCTCCTTTAAGTGGGATACGCACCTGCCCGCATAATCAGTTCATTCTTGGTAAGAAATGAAGCAGTTGTTCTACAAGCATTTTTACGAAGCGGAACTGGATGTTCAAGCAATAGAATTCCTCATAATGAATCAAGAGATGGATGAATCTGTGGGTGAGTATATCCAGAGATAGAGAGACCTTGCCATATGCCAGAGCAATCCCAGGACTGAGATTGATGCTGTATAAACGTGCATAAGGAACATGAAGAAGGAAATCTCCTTACATGTTAAAGCTTCTAATCCTACCACTTTTTTTGACATGATCACTAAGGTAGCTAAAATCGAAAGCTTGTTAAGGCATCAAGGAGGAAGCCAATCTCAGACCTCAGGGTGGGGGGGGAGGGGGTGGGATGGGTGTAGGGTTTCAGACTCGTAATTCCATTAATTACAAAGCTAACCCTTGAGTTAGCCAGCAAAGGAATCCATTCAGTCCGGTGGTCACTATGACGCCCCTTCTTCCTGAATCCCCAGCTAATGTTACTCTTCTCCAAACATTAGAAACCTAGGTTGGCACCCACAAGGGGAACACAAGAATAGTGACCTACTTACTCGGCTTTAGCTCATACCACTCTTTTTCCCTTCTTTGTAGAGTGAGCACAGACTGTTCTTGTGTGGACTGCTAGATGGTGGTAGCAGACTTTTGAAGTTCAAGTTATGTCCAGGAATCTATTGATTGCAGGTGTCTGGTGGCGTTGCCACAATATTATCGAGTCGATAGAGCCTTGAACCTTTTGTAAAAGAATTTTTGGAGACAGAATCTATATAAATGGTTTTATGCTATTCCATTTGTGGCCCTTTGTTTACGAGTTATTTTGATTTATGGGTTACTTGGATTCCGTATTTCTTTTAACACGTGTTGATGCGACTCCCACCTAAGTGACGTAAGCGACCTCCGGTCGCTATCCCGTACTCTGTCCCCCTCCTTTTGGGGACTGTAGGAGTCAGAGGGCGGGGTCATGACAATTATGGTATTAAAGCAGCCAGGCTAGGATTCTTGGCCTAGAATGTTGTAAAGGTGTCTCTATAGCAGTTTTGAGTAGACCAGTGATTGAGGTGCCCCTATTTTGAGACAAAGATGCCAAGGACACATGCTAATAATGCGAGCTCTAATAACGAGAATGCAGAAGCCCTTGGGGAATTCCTCAAGACATTGGGGGCCATGACTCAGATGATGAAAGATAGTATGCCAGCCCCGGTTACCCCAACCCCGGAACAGACTGACAGTGGACTAATAGAACGATTCAGGAGACTAGCACCTCTGACATTCCTAGGGCATAGGGGAGTAGAAAAAGCAGAGCGATGGATAAGGCAAATGGAAAAGATATTTGAAGTATTGCCTTGCAGTGATGAGCAGAAGGTTAGGTTAGGGGCCTTCATGTTAGAAGGAGATGCTGAGCACTGGTGGGGCTCAATAAAACAATCTTGGGAAAGGTCAGAGACAGAAGTGACTTGGGAAAATTTCTTGGAAGCCTTCAATGAGAAGTACTTCCCTGACGGTACGGAAAAGAAAGGAAGTAGAGTTTATTGAGCTGCAACAAGGGGGACTGTTCGTAGAATAGTATGCAGTCAAGTTCGCTGAATTGTCTAGATATGCGTCGCACATCATTAACACTGAGGCATGGAAGGCTAGTAAGTTCGAAAGAGGCCTCAGGCAAGAAATAAGGAGGTAGGGGGGGTGATATTAGCCAATTTAAAGACCTTCTCCCCTCTCATGGATCTGACCATGAAGATAGAAAGGGAAGACGAAAGGTCCCAGTTTAGGAAAGAGGGAAGGATGGGATCGACTCAGTTTAGGAGTTTTAGAAGAAAGACTTGACCACCCCCAAAGAGAAGCTTCAGGGGAAATAATAATCAAGGACGCAAGAAGATTCAAAAAACCTTCTCGGGCGACGTAAGAGTGAACTAGTGCCCGATATGTCCATATCGCGGAAAGTACAATCACTTGACGGCCGAGTGCCAAAGAAAGACATGAACATGTTTCAGGTGTGGCAAGCCTGGCCACATGATCAAGGATTGTCTGGTGAAGGGATCAGGAGACCGACCAAAGACTCAAGGTAGAGTGTTTGCACTAATGGAACGAGAGGCAAAGGCATCCCCCTCTGTGATTTGAGGTACGCTCGCTGTCTGCAACATGGAAGCTAAAGTTTTGATTGACCCTAGATCCACACACTCTTTTGTTGCACCTCACTTTTCATGCCACATAAATGTTAGACCCGCACTTCTTGACTGGACATTGACTGTAGGCACACCTATTGGGGAATATATAAATACTGATAATGTTTATAAATACTGTGGGGTTTTGCTTGAAGGGTGTGTTCTACCTATAGACTTGATACTATTAGACATCGAAGATTTTGATGTGATTTTGGGCATGGACTGGTTGTCTGCACATTATGCAACAGTGAACTGTTATGACAAAACTGCAACTTTTAGACGCCCTAATCAACTTGAATTGAATTTTGTTGGCATTAAGGATGTTTCCCCTATGCACTTTATCTCAGCTCTTCAGGCTGTTGGCCAAAGAATGCGTTGAGTATCTGGCTTACGTAGTGGAGAATTGGGATGGCCAGTCAAAGTTAGATGAGATACCAGTAGTGAGGGAGTATCTAAAAGTTTTTCCTGAAGAGTTAACCACTCTGCCTCCAATTAGAGAGATAGAATTTGAAATAAAGGTGGTTTCTGACACTGCTCCCAGTTCTAAAGCCCCTTATAGGATGGCCCTAGCTGAATTGAAAAAACTGAAGGAGAAATTGCAAGAGTTATTAGAGAAGGGATTCGTTCGGCCTAGTGTGTCATCATGGGGTGCACCGGTTTTATTTGTGAAAAAGAAAGATGGGACCTTAAAACTTTGTATAGATGATAGACTGTTGAACCAGGTCACAGTAAAGAATAAGTACCCCTTGCCTAGAATTGATGACTTCTGTGATCAGCTTCAAATGACTCAAGTGTTTTAAACAATTGACCTTCGGCCGAGCTACCATCAACTACGGGTTAAAGAAGAGGATATTCCTAAGACTGCATTCAAGACCCGATATGGACATTATGAGTTCTTGGTAATGTTGTTCGGGATAATTAATGCCCCAGCCGCCTCTATGGATTTGTTGAATAGGGTGTTTAAGCCCTTTTTGGATGATTTTGTGGTGGTTTTTATAGATGATATTCTGGTATATTCAAGGAATCCGGAAGAGCATGAACAACACTTGAGGATGGTCCTCCAGACCCTAAAGACAGAGAAGTTATATGCTAAGCTGGGTAAAAGCAACTTTTGGCTTTCTAGTGTGGCCTTCCTTGGGCATGTTATTTCTAAGGATGGGGTCGCAATTGACCCTTGTAAAATTGAAGGTGTTCTGAGGTGGGGAAAGACGAAAAATGTGTTTGAGGTCGGTAGTTTCCTGAGACTGACAGGTTATTATAGACGCTTTGTAGAGGAGTTCTCAAGGATAGCGCTCCCCTTGACTCGCCTAACTCAGAAAGAAGTAAAGTTTGTATGGTCAGATGATTGTGAGACAACCTTTCAAGAGCTGAAGAAGAGACTGACCACTGCCCCAATACTTACCTTACCCGAAGGGAACGAAGACTGGTGGTTTATGCTGACGCTTCCCATAAAGGGCTTGGATGTGCATTAATGCAATGAGGGAAGGTTATAGCCTATGTCTTCAGACAGCTGAAGCCGGACGAGCAAAATTACCCAACCCAAGACTTGAACTTGCGACTGTAGTATTTGTCGTAATGATCTGGACACATTACCTATATAGGGCCCAGTTTAAGATATTTAAACATCATAAAATCCTTAAGTATATGTTCTCTAAAAAAGAGTTAAATATGAGACAAAGAAGATGGATGGATCTACTAAATGACAATGACTGTACCATCAACTACCAATCGGGCAAGATTAATGTGGTGGCCGACTCTTTAAGTCAGAAGCCCTTAGTGTCGGTCGCACACCTGATGACTTGAGAGCTGAAACTAATAGAAGATGTAGTGGAGTGGCACCCAACTTTGCCCCTTAGTGGTGGGGGAGGAATGACTGCTAGTATGAGTGTGGAAGCTCAACTCTTTCAACAGATTCGTAAAGCGCAGAGAGAGGATCTGCAACTTATGAAGATTCTTGAAGAAATAAAGATGGGAAGAAAAGAAGATTTTGCTGTTAGTGGGGATAGTCTGTTAAGATTTAAAGATCGGGTTTGTGTCCCAAGTATTGAGAGCGTGAAGAGGGTAATTTTAAAAGAAGCACACCACTCCCGTTATACTGTGCACCCAGGGAGTACTAAGATGTATCAGGACTTGAAGAAAAAATTTCTGGTGGAATGATATGAAAAAGGAAGTAGCACCTCTAGGTTCTTAACATGTCAGCAAGTAAAAGCTGAGCATAAAAAACCCGCTGAGCTGTTACAACCCTTACACGTACCGAAATGGAAGTGGGAGCACATTACCATGAATTTTGTCTCTAGCTTACCCAGGACAAGTATTGGACATGATAGTATTTGGGTCATTGTGAACCGACTGACGAAAGCAGTTCATTTCTTACCAGTCCACACTACTTATACTAGAACAAATTGGCCCATCTTTACATTAAAGAAATTATAAGATTACATGGAATGCCTATCGGTATTGTATCTGATAGGGACACTAGATTACGTCAAGATTTTACGATAATTTGCAGTCAGCATTGGGGGCAAGACTCACTTTTAGTACTGCTTTTCACTCTCAGACGAATGGGCGATCAGAAAGAACAATTCAGACTTTGGAAGACATGTTAAGAGCCTATGTTATTGATGTTAAAGGAAGTTGGGAGGATCATATGCCTTTGATAGAGTTTGCTTATAACAACAGTTTTCAGGCTAGTATCCAGATGGCACCTTGTGAAGCCTTGTATGGAAGGAAGTGTCGGTCACCTATCTGTTGCAATGAGATCAGTGAAAGAAGAATGTTGGGGCCCGAAATTATTCAAGTAACTTCAAAAAAGATGGCCTTAATTTGGGAGAGGCTCAAAACTGCTCAGAGTCGGCAAAAGAGTTATGCCGACAATCTAAGAAGAAGCCTTGAGTTTGAGGTAGGTGATCGGGTTTTCTTGAAAGTATCACCGACCAAGGGTATTATGAAGTTCAACAAGAAAGGAAAGTAGGACAAGAAAGGAAAGTTGAGCCCATGTTTAATTCGGCCATTTGGGATTCTGAAAAGAGTAGGAAGTATGGCTTATCGGTTTACTCTGCCACCTGAGTTAACAAATATTCATGATGTGTTTCATGTGTCTTTATTGAGGAAATATCAGCTAGACCCGTCCCATGTTTTGAAGTATGAGCCATTGACAATCAAGGAAGACTTGACTTATATCGAGCAGCCAATTGAGATTTAGACATGAGGGTGCAAGTTTTGTGCAACAAAGAAATCCCCCTGGTTTTTGTTCTATAGTAGTATCACTTAAAGGAAGAATCAACATGAGAACGAGAAGATGAGATTCGAAATAAGTACCCCCAGTTGTTTAATTAATCGAGACACGATTTTGGGGACAAAATATTTTTAAGGGGGGATGATGTAAAAACCCAAAATTTTAAGCATGATGAAGTTGTTGCCGCACGACGAAGGGATAGAAGATGAAGCGCATGGCGATGGAAGAAGAAGTGCGCGACGAAGAGAAAAGAAGAAGAAGTGTGTGGCGATAGAAGAAGAATGCATGACGATTGAAGAAGAAGCTCGCAGGGAAGAGAGAAGAAAAAGAAGCGCGTGATGATAGAAGAAGAAGTGTGTGGCGAAGAGAGAGGAAGAAGAAGGGCGCGGTGATAGAAGAAGAAGCGTGCAGCAAAGAGAGAAGAAGAAGAAGCGCGTGGCAATAAGGAGAAGAACATGCTGCGAGGGAAGAGAAGAAGAAGCGTGCGGCGATAGGGAGAGAGCACGCGGTCATAGAGAGAAGAGCGCACGACGATAGGGAGAGAAGAGGAAGAGGTAAGGCCATGCATGAAGCGAGACGGCCACCTGTTGACTGTATACTGTCTTGTGCACCAACTGTCAGCCTGCATACCATTAAGGGGTCTCTTGGCAAGCACTGAGTGCCACCTCCGCACCTTAAAAGTATAAGTCTCTTTCTCCCTCTACACTTCATTTTTTTGGGAGCCCAAGCTTAACCTTCATGCCATTGTTGGAGAGCTTGAGAAACTCGGTGGAGGGGACTATGGAAGGAGTTTGGATCACCTTTGGGAACACAAAAAGGTAAGTAGATCACTACCTTGGAAGCCATAAGCATAGAAGAATGAATGATGTATGGTTTGAGCATAGTTTGAGTATGAGCATGTGTTATATGATGACTGCATTTTCCATAAAGTTGCCTTCCCTTGCATGATGAAAATGAGCACTGAAATCCTTTTGATGGAATTGAAATTTTATGGGGTGGTATTATTGGAAGTCTAGTTTAAGCTAGAACTGGTTTTATATTGTTACCTTGCATAGATTAAGAATTAGGAAGTGATTTTGGGAAGGGTGTCATGGCTGAACTATGATTTTCCAAGGAACTTACATGTTTTTGTAATGAGAATTTGAATGAGAAAATGATATCCATTAGGCCTCAAATCATCCCCATTTGAAATGTCTCTGAGTTTACTTTGAGTTTGATGTTTATGTCCAATTGAGGTTCTTGCTAGTTTGGAAGATATGTTTTATTTTAAGCATGTATGTCATTGGTAGCAGACTGTGATATATTCCAGAAATATTGCTCCTGTTATACTAAGACCTTTCCTGACCTATTGATGTCCAAATGACACAAAAGTACAACCATTTGATAGATGCATGAGTCTCCTATGATTTTAATGTTTTAACACTACCAAAATTTCTATGTAAATGAGGGGTTATACTCAAGAATGTTCTAGTATATCATTGTTGATAGGCCTTATTGGAACTCAAAATTTTTGCCTCTGTTGCGATGAACTTTGGCTGACCAAATGGAGTCCAATTACCCTGAGACCACAGCCATTTCAAAATTCCAGCTAGGTTGCAAGCTATTATTTGAATTGCAAACATATGTCACTATTGGCAAAATTCAGCAAGATTCAGGACGATAAGCTAAACCTTCGATGGACCTAGTAATGCTCAATTTGTGAATTGGAATCAGAATTTAGTTAAATTCCTCTCATAATTTGGGTGATGTGCTTCATTCTGTATATGCCCATGATTAATAAGAACAACAAGGAATGTTTAAGTAGTACATGAATTATGCACATATCATGCATCAATGTTTCTTTCTGAACATAGCTTCTCCTTTTTACAAGGTGATTGAATGTTATGTTATAAGACATCGAAATGGCATGCTTATGATCCTACAAATGTTGAACGCTCATGCCTTTGTGAAAAGAGTAAAGTATGAATGAATGAATGTTGTGCATACTTATTCGCGGTGCTTTGATATATGTGATTTTTGACCACTATGCAATGGGTCCTCCATTGGTAGTGGATATTTTGATTCTGTTATATGAACTCTGATATATGTGATTTCTGGCCACTACGCAATGGGTCCTCTATTGGTAGTGGATATTATGATTCTGTTATATGAACTCTGATATAGTGATTTCTGGCCACTACTCAATGGGTCCTTCATCGGTAGTAGATATTTTGATTATGTTATATGAACTCTGATATATGTGATTTTCGGTCACTACGTAATGGGTTGTCTATTGGTAGTGGACACTGTGTTACAGGCAAGTTCTGATTTTGCACCGACTCCAATGATTGGAGTGGATTCGGGAGATAACTGTAAATTAACAGGGTGGGTCGCACCTCCCAAATGGTTATGGGCACTATGCATTGGGTCCTCCAATGGTGGTGTAACGCCCTCACCCTTGAAGGCGTAAGGAAAGGGTCATGTCTTGCAAGGCCTTAGCCTATCAAAACCCCAAAGGGCACTGGGGATCATGTGCATGAGTGAGGGCAATACGAAATGGGACCTCCATTTATCATTATCGTCCCT